TAATAATAATAATAATAATAATAATAATAATAATAATAATAATAATAATAATAATAATAATAATAATAATAATGTAAGGGAATTTGCTCCCTTTATTTCATTGACAGTCTGAAAAGTCCTACCACTCTTTTTGTATGAAAACAAACAAAACAAATAACACATTCACAAGCTGGCACATCATACCTGAGCTGGGATATTTAAAAAAAAGAAACAGTAATGTAAGGTAAGCAGTTTGTCAGAAAAAAAAGTGTGTAGCAAAGAAATCGTAAGAAACAAAAGTAAGACTATAAGGTTACAAGAGCTAGGATTTATATTAAAAACTTTCCAAATTTCAAGTTCCGACAGTCTAGAGTTTGTACAGGCAGTGACCTGTCAGAAAAGAAGTCTATAGAACAAAAAAGGAAAAAAAAGCCGAAAAGTAAATACATAACAATGAAAACTAAATCACTCCTTAAACATTTAAGACCAAATAGCTGTTGAAGACCGATTCCTAATTCTTCGACATCCATGCATGCTCTTTCACAAACTACACAGCAATGTGTTCGTCGCTCGTTTGTTCTTTGTCCCATTCTCTCTCATCCTCTGTTGTCTAACTCTTTTTTTCTCTCGCTCCTGTTAAGATTGTCAAAGTAGAGGAAACTGAAGTTCACTGTCAGCTGGACATCTGAAGATTGATCAGACTGTGTTCTTGGGTCACGTTTTTCCTATTCCTTCGTTTTTCCATTTCTTCAAATGGGCGTCCATCAAAGATACTATCCCAGAACTTTCTGAGCATGTCTGAGCTGATTTGAAATCCTGTTGGGGCATGCTCGGTGCATGACGCAACATGTCCTGAAAAGTTAAACTGAAGGTCTCAGTAATAAAATGTCTTTTTAAGAAATGTCTCTGACTATAATGGGAGTTGTTCTCTTTTTTTTACATCTGACACCCTGAGCTTACTCAGTTGGCACTGACAGCCTCATGTGTCTCGTGGTCGCTGCTATAGTCTGACTTGGGCTCATCCTCAAAGTCCTCATACATGTCCATGTCATTGTCTCCATTATTGGGGTCGCTGGGCAGATCCAAGGCTCCGATCACACTGCCATTGCTGCCTCCTCCACTGCCAGGCTCAGACTTTACACCGTACGTGCTCTGAATGACGGGGATGGCAGGATCAGGACTGGCCGAGTTGCTGGAGCAGTCTGAGGTCAGATGTGGGGATGGTGTAGCTGCTGTTGCCATACTTATGGCACCCGGGTAAACTCCTACACTTCCAGGACTGTTGCCCAGAGAAATGGGTGGCTGAGGCCTGAGTATGAAGGAAAGAAGATAAGGAAGAATTATATTATTTACACAACATAAAATGATCGAAAAGCTTTGTAACTTTTACAGTGTGATTTAAGTCTAGCAGCAATGCTGGAAGCAGTTGAAAGGTGCACAAGGAGATGACCTTGAAGGGGAGATTAGTTCAATTAAAAAAAATGTATTTATTCATTTAAGTCTCAGCAAGCATGATCCAAAAATTACAACGTTGAAGAATGTTAGAAATGATTGTCACTTCATAATGAATGATTGGTCCTTTAAAGTTAAAGAAAAGACACTACGTCCCCGAGCCGCTGAACATCACAAGAAGGACTACTTGTAAACTTCTAGTTGACTGATAGAGATCAATTTGTATTCTTCTGGGAGGTCAAATATGGCAATGAATCCTTAAACCAATAAAAACTGACCTAACTCAGTGTTCAGAACAAAAACTTAGGAAAGAACCAGCTTTTAAAAACACACAATTTGTTAGACTGGCATAAAATAGTATTTTTGTACCAATAAGGTGATTCCCAAAGTAACGATATACTCCACAGTATGCTGTGTGCTCTTTAAAAATAAAATGGACAAGTGGAGAACAAAAACAGGCAGCAGATGGGCAGTATCTGCAAGTCTGAAAGATTTAAGAAATGGGGAAAAAAATCAGCCAAAGACCTGACACAGAACTTGGGAGATGTATCTGTTAAGCATTTTAGACAAAGGCTCATCTGTATGCATGCATGTTTGCTCATACGAATATTTTTCTGAACCTATTTCTCCATTTTCCCTGCAAAGTATAAAGAAACGGAATGGCTCAAGACCTTTGCACAGTTGTGTTTTGGTACAAGCTAGACAGATCAGACACTGATTCGTTAGCCTTTGAACAACATCTGTGAACAAAACATTTATTCTTAAGCCATTTAAGTTCAACCACAACGCTTTTCATCTGGCTGAGCATGTCCTAACATAGAGTTCTACCTGCCATATCACAGCAGCATTAGCATTGTAGATGGAATGGGGGTAAATGCACATCATTCAAACAGGCCCCTCAGGCTCCTCAAATGAACCGCATAAAGTGGGAAAATTACTGTCACCTTTTTCACCTAACAGTTTTCTCTCCTCTGTCTCCTGAAACAATTACTGCCGTGTGCTCTGACAGACTCATTTTCACATTAAGCATTTTAAAATAACACTGGTTTAGCAATCTGGAATGTGCCAGAAACTAGTTGTGTACTGGCTCCTGTAGATGTTTGATTTAGCAACAATTGCAAACCCAGGCCTGGAGAATCTAAGCTTTCCTGCTTAGCGTACTTGACCACACACAGTAAATGTGGCATTCATCCTGTGACGTGTGCCTTGCGCTCATTCCCTCTCGAGCATGTGCTTACATTTCATATTCCACTGTGTCTGTCTGTGTCCAATTTCACTGCCCGCAAGCGCCCAGCATTGTCCTAATTTAATAAATGACAAGCTATTAAAAATCGCTCCTATTCAAAGCTGTGGCCTCTGGTAAATCCATCTCACTCATAGGCCACTGTGATGGCTTTAAACACATCCATGACTGGTTCCCATTAAGACAATGCCACTGTTTTTCCCCTTGCTGCACCGACTGCAGTTGAAAAAATATATATCAAGCTCTTCAGCAAATGTTTAAGAGCTTTAGCAGATAGAACCACAAGAGGTTCCCAACCTTTCATAAAGGGCCCATAAACCTTGATGATCACTCCACTAACGTTAAACAAATGGACGCGGCTAAGAATTCTTTTCTATTCAAACTGAGACATATTAAGGAGGGGAAAAAGACCTCTCGTGAAATGCAAAGTTGGTTTTAATATATTTCTATACAATTAAATAAACTCAAAGAAGGTAGATAAAATTACAAAATGATAAATTGTCTTTTTTTTCCTTTTTACTTGGACATATTTGGGGAGAGATGTCTGCTGGATTGAGAGACGACTTTATCGAAGGCCACAGGTCCATTGTAAATGACTCAAATCCATCTAGAGTTAGACACAAAGACTGTCTGTTATCCAAGGCTTAATATCGTCAATGGCTTGTGGTTCTTGATGCAAATGGACCTCTTTAAAGTTTTAATCTCTCAGTTTTAATCAGTCATAATATACACTCTAATGAAGATGTAACAGTGTGAAATAACCCTGCAACCATGCCAGCATTCCTGTCCAAATAATGGCCCAGTATTAGGTCACGAGGTCAAGCTAAATAGTGACATGACATGGCTTAACCTATTTGGGATTATAGGACTGAAGAAGTACCACCGACAAAGTCCACAGGTCCAACAAAGTCCACAGCTTCAAACAATGATCAGTCTATGAGAAACACCACCATGTTAAATTATGTGGTTTAACTTCAGTTTACAGGGCAATTTTCTTCAAATAAGCATCAAATCACACTGTTATAAAGAAAAGTTATGTCAAATTATACTATCACTGTTATAAAATCTAAGTTCAACATAATTTGGTATAATGCTGTCTAATATATTTTGGATCAAATGACACTAATTGCATTTCCTAGTCAAGCCATAATTCACACATCGTTTAATTAGAGTACGAGTGCATTTGTGTGCTGTTTTATTAAATGTCTCTCAAAATATGGTTTGTTACATCTTACTAGTGCTCCATAAAATAAAGTGTGACCCACACAGCTCTCCTCTGAGCAGTACTGAATGCTGCATGACCCTGAGGGTGCCAACAATGCCAGAACCTTTTCACCACCTCGATTCATACCAGTCACTCAGAAAGAAGAAAATCTCTTCAGTGAGAGAAGGTTCACTTTTGACATGTTTAAGTATTTCTGGAATTTAAATCACAATTACACAGTACTGCCATCTGAAGGTCCTTCCATGAAAAAAAAAAAACTAATTCGAAATTCAGTTCTAAAACCACGTAACTCGCCGACACGCTGCAGCTTTCCTTCAAACTCGTGCGATCACTCACTTTTTCAGCTTTGTACTCACCCCACAAAGAACTGCCTCATTTCCTGACGTCGTGAACGCATCATCTGCTTGTACTCCCCGATGCGTAGCTTCTTGCCATCAATGATGCAGGTTCTCTTGGGCCGTGGCTTGTACTTGTAGTTGGGATATTTCTCCAAGTGGATCTTGCTTAAGCGGGCCTGCTCCTCGTAATATGGCTGCTTTTCCTGGTTTGTCATGGCTTTCCAGCGAGAGCCTGGAGCAAAAAAAAAATTTAAAAAGCAATTGACACTTTAACTTAGGTTATATTTAAATATTTTAGTGTTACTAGTTAAGAGGGTGACTGAATTTAAATATCTGCACATTACCAAATTTTAGTGAGTGACTAACATGGTTTCAGTGAGTTTTTTCAAAATAGTTTCAGTGTGTGGTGAATCAAAGGTTTTCATAAAATTCCTGCAAAGCAAACATCCTGTCACAGCTACATTATTCAGTCACACAAAAGAAGCACTGCTTTGACAATTCTGGTTTCTTCCCGAGGTTGGATGCCTTCCTGCGAGCAGGCTCCATTGAGTGTTTAGCCTAGAAGGGTGTTTAAAACCAGGAGTGGATTACACTCTGCTTCGCTCAGGAAGAATGATACATTGTGTATGGCTTGTTTTCCTCGGTAAGAGGACCTTCTGAGCAACTGAACAGGGCCATTACTGCGGGAACGCAGCACATCTGTGAAGCACTTTGACAGCTGATTATACACACTCTTCCTTGCTCTTCTGTTTATCAAGGTTTATCACAAACTCTTCTTGTACTTTTGTGACACAGGAAACACAGAAATGTTTTTCTTTCTTTTTTTTAAACTTGCCACCCACCTACTCCCTTAAGTCCAGCTGTGTTATTATTTCAGAGATGGATGCATTGTATACATACAGTCATATACACACTCATAATTCCACTTTTCCTTCTCGTCTTGTCACTGAACCCTAATAAAAATCCAGCAGGAGCGCGCGATTAGGCAATGTACTTAATCAAATGATTTTCCCCTGTAATACGTTTCCACTGTAATAACAAAAACAAAGAAAAAAAAAAGCACTTTTGAAAGCACAAAGATTAATCGTCTAAATTCAGGATGCATGTTAAGAGCACAAAACATCCATTTATAGGACCCCTTTCAGAGACCTGAGTCAATAACACAGATCCACCTTAGAAAAAGCAATTCATTCACAATTCTCAGAAGTAGCATTTACGGCATTCAGCAAGCCTCAAGCTCACTTGAACTCTGCATTGTACGGTAGAAGTCTTAAGAACATTTCAGGAACAACCGTTATGCTCAGCATCATGTGAATGGATATCTGTGTTGAGGAGGTATTTTAACTGAATGCATCCATCACACTAGTCAGGCTGACACAGTGGAGCTCTGTGTGTGGAGTGTTCCAGGCTGAAAAACACACTAGTCATTCTTACAGTACCCACTTGACGGTAAGAAACCCTGTGAACTGCATATAGCGGTAGGGTAACCTAATGAGCAGACAAGCTGACCTTAAACAAATCTGCCGTGTCACTTTACAGTCACTTAGAAAAAGAAAATAAAAAATTTAAGCAAACACTGGCGTATTCTTTTGTACAAAATTTAAAGGAAAGCAAAAGTACTTCGCCCTTACAACACCAGAACAACATATCGCCACAACACTGAGGTTTAGCTTTCTCACTCATCAAACATAAACCCGCAAAATCTCACCAAGGATCTTGCTGATGTTGGAGTTGTGCATGTCAGGGAAGGTCTGCAGGATCTTCCTCCTCTCATCTTTGGCCCACACCATGAAGGCGTTCATGGGCCTCTTAATGTGGGGCTCGCTGTTGTTCCTGCCTCGTGCCTCTCTGAACACCCGTGCCTCTGCGATGTTACTCCCTAAAAAAAAAGAGATCACTTTTGCTGTATGTTCACCATTAACGAGTTAGCTGTTCATACTTTCACACTTCAAATGCAGTGTATAACAAGGTGCCTGCTTCTTTGACTGAGGCACTTTTCTGTCTTCTTGGAAAGCGTAGCAAAGGTTTGGTGGAGTATTGCGGGCATAGTGTCCTTCATATCATTCCTACACACAAACACACGTGAACTTTGCACATTATGCTTAGTTTGCTTCCTCGTGATATTATCTCAGTGCTTAAGCTCCTGTGTTTACTCCTCTGACTCTAAACTAAACCACGATGAGGTGCCTGTAAACAGAATTGCTTTATGGCAAACAGGTGTGCTTGAAAAAAATCGGAAAGACAACATTACAAGGAAGTACTTTAAAAGAGCGCATTTAATGACTACATTTAATTCATAGTACGTAAAAATCAGCTCTTGTGACCGATTCATAATTATCTCTGTGACCATTCGCTACAGAAAACTTACTGCCCATTTTTGGTTTGCATACTAGGACTGGGTCACAAAAACTAGTGAAAAACATGAAGACAATTCATCCTCTTTTCCTACACTTGCAGTAATATTGACATTTGACATTTTCAAGTGAGCAGAATGTTCACCGTAGTGTCCTGACGTCCAAGATAAATATTTGTATTTTCTGAATACCTGCATTTGTGAGCTTTCTGGTAGATGACTTATTGAGTATTAGTCTTAGTAGGAAGGCCCACAGAGGCCTCTTCTAAATTTAACCATGTGAGTTACTGTCACTGGTATCAGTTTTATCTGAACAGGATGTGACTCGCACTCTGCACATGTGAGCTGTACCTGCACATGTGATGTGACAATAAAAGTGATTTGATTTGATTTGACTCTATTTCTGAAAAAACAAAACAAAAAAAACCATGCCATTTTGCATGCCAGTAGTCAGAAATGTAGGTAAAAGAGTAGCAACGGGGTAAGAGACATACCATCTAAATCTTCTGGTCTTGTCAGGTCAATGACTCGATGAACCATCTTCCCAGCATCCTCTCCGAGCTTCCCCAGGTGCTGGCTCAGTGTCTCATAGTGCAGCCGCTCCTACAGTAGAAAAGAAAAAGGAGGAGTGGTGAAGTCTGAGGAATACTTTAAAAGCTGCAATTCTTTACTCTGCATTCAGTTATTATTATTTAACCCAGGGGTCGGCAACCCTAGGCACGCATGCCAGGGTTAACTGATGGTACGACCATAGCTGGACTGGCCATCGGGCATACTGAGCATTTGCTCGGTGGGCTGGTGGTGATTTTTCGTTTTTATGGGCCGATGATTTTTTGTTGTTGTTGTTTTTTCGTAAAGGTATAAACAATGAAAGGTGGTGGATTGGCCAAATGCTGGTCGGTGTGTAAAAATAACTCAGTTATTTGGTGGTGGCTGTGGCGGAGCTTCCACAGATTCAGTAA